CCCCAAAACCCCAAAACCCCAAAACCCCAACTTCTAAAAATATATTTAAAAAATCCTAAATCTCTTCTAAATGGACTCTCTACACAGAACCTTACTGCAAGAAGCCAAAATGACCGAACTAATCACAAATCTCCATGCCCCAAGCTTTGAAGACACAAGGCACAAGGACCCTTACTTAATACAGACATGGCTAAAGATGTTTAGACTGGAACAAGACAAGGTAACAATATATATAAACAGGCGATTTGTAGCAAGCTTTGGATTATCTGTTTTGTAGATGGTTTAGATTTACTTTGGTTATAGGAGTTGAGGTACTCGTCTCCGAAGAATATCAGCAAAATTTTATTTGCAAACAAAGTGTATATATGATTGAAGTATAAGAAATTTGAAATGCAAGGAGTTCTGAGGGATATCGACTATGGACAGGAAATATACTGTAAACCTCTTGAGCGTCTATTGATTTTTAGTAATGTTAAGGATCAATTCTTTATGTCTCTCGAATCTTTTTTTCCAAGCTTTATAAAAATAGCCTCCTATGTAACAAGGTCTATCTATTTAGAAAAAATAAAGTTGGATAAGAAACAAATCAGTTGCCTTCTCAGTTGCTTGAGCAACTTAAAATCTTTGAGGTTTTCTGGATCACAAATAGCAACAGAAGGTATCAAAATATTTTGAAATTGCTATCCTTATATTGAGAATCTTTGAATCTCACAGAGTTTCAACGAAGATTTCAAACCCTTTGGCCATATTGATGTTGAGAGAATATTAAAGGTGGTCTTATTTTCATCTTTACTAAGCTCAATCGATAAGATAGAGTTCAAGAATTGTGACATAGATTTACAAGAAGCTCAGAAAATAAATAAAAGATTAGGCAAGATTTTTAGTGTTGGCTCTCTTTCGAAAGGATTGGGCCAAATTATTTGATTCACTAAAAATATAATAAAGAAGGAGTATAAATGAGTAATCTATTAAAAATTAGAGTATAAACGAAACAAATATTCTCACAGTCACTTTCAATATCATTTAACAACTATCGAAATCTTATAAAAATACTAATGAGTTTTTCAAAACTCGCAGCTTTATCAAACCAAAATGCTTAAAATCAACCAATCTTATCAACTCCTTATAAACCACTCTTCTAATCTCCAAATAAACTCCCTACACCCAACCTACACACCACAACAGTACCACCGCTTCCCATAATCCCCACTTCAGAACCTATAAATTCCACAACTAATTAAGCCTCCTTCAAATTCTTAAAAACCCAAAGCTAGTATAAAAACCTGTTAAGAGTACCTATTTTTTAAAGAAGCTTGGAAGCTGGAATTTGGGCATTTTGAAATATAGAAGAGAGAGGTGGAGTTGGATGGGTGAGAAGCAAGTGGGAATGAAGAGAATAGGGGCAGTTAAGGGGGGGTAGGGGGGGGGTTGGAGGAGATTGGGGTGGGTTTTGGTGGTTTTAAGGGATGGATGAGATGTAAGGTTGAGGTAGATTGATGATATTGAGTTATAAATTGGAAAAATGTATTCTATTTCGATTTCATTGTTTGGGGTTTTGGGGTTTTGGGGTTTTGGGGTTTTGGGGTTTTTGG